GGGCTTATTACGGGGGATACCAGGAGTTTAGAGTATAGCGTATAGCTCAAATGGTAGTTTCCCAAAATGGGGGGAGGCCAGTATAGACCCCGAAGTATTATAATTCCTGTTTAGGGGACCCTACAGTGGTACCCCTAATTCTGGGAAACCACCAAATAATCCTGAGGAAGCCCTAGGTGGACTCCATATGTGGTTCTCATGGAGTCCTTTTTTATAGGTCCCCCTCAATTGAGCCGTAGTCTAAACTCCTTAAAGTGGATTATACACGGGACTTTCTACGGTTTCGATTGTAAGGCTTTCTAGCGGGGAAGCTACGAGTTTAGACTATAACTCATATATACCCTCTATATACCCTCAAATTCGCTATGTGTATCTCACAAGATACTATAGCTCATATGCAAGGTTGGACGCAGCTTGGGCCCATATGGGATCCCTACAAAATCATGGGAAGTCATGTTAGAGAAGCGTGGCAACCTGCTTTCCTGCTTTCAGTGACTTCCCATGACTACTTGTTCTCCTAATTGTTATTCTTAATCTTATCCTTGCTATTATTATTATTAGTATCATTAGTATTCTCACTTCAAATTAATTTTGCTATTGATATTCGTATTGTTGTTACTACAATGAAGATATTCTAGTATGTGCTGTCTGGCAGCCGTTTTGAGCGCTTGCCGCTCGTTCTCTGCAAACTCGTCCGTATCCAATAGCCGGAGGCATTCGCAAACCCGTTTCTGGGTTCCCAAGGCTTAGGGGTCCTTGTTTTTTGGAGCCCCAAAATGATGCTTTTAGTATACGGGGTCCACATTGTCGGGCCCCTTGTTTAGGCTTCCCCGCGTCATTATCATTGCATTTACACGGCAGACATTGATGGATTTGATTTCTCAGCCTTGTACAATATTGCCCTTTGCAAAAAGGCTACTTAGGTCCTGTGCCATGTGAAAAGATGGTGCGCCCATCACAGATATCCGCCATTGCAGCCGAAACGTCTCGCGCAGATGCCTTGCAAGAAGGACTGCTGCACAGACCCAGAGGGCGCTTGAGGTTGTATTCATTTACTAGGGTGTTGTCTGCGAAAGTTTATTTTTGCAAGTACGCTGCGGAGGAAGTGACAGGATGATTAGAGCTGAATGAGTCATATCGGGCCATCTTGGTTTTCAGCAGCCAGAATTTGTAACGTCTTCAACAGGCTTGGCAGCGGTGTTCTGGGGTCTTGGATCTTTCCTACGAAGTAAATGCTGCGACTTCTGCAATGGGATCGCAGGTCCTGGTTTTGTCAACGTCTCTACAACATTGGAACCAGTTTGGCTTGTGACAGCAGTCAGAACCTCCCCTACTGAGATGACATATTCTTCCATAGTTCCAGTTGGAAATGTTTGAATGATTGCAAAGCGGATATAGAAGGGGAAGTGATTCAACGATTTTTCTGTTGGATGGTTGAGGGGTCGGTTTGAGAGTTTAGGGTTTCATGCGTTTGGTGACGAGCGATTTGATTGCGAATATCACTATCTGCCTCATGTGCCTAGCGCATGACTCTTCTGATGTTCCTTTCAGCTGTTTTGTTACCAGGGCTGTAGCACGGCCTCGGCTCAGATCACCAGGACAAGAATCGGGCTATGTAGCAGGAATGCAGGAATGGAAAAGAAAATGGAAATGGAAATTATCATTTTCATCACATGTAAATTGGAGACCTTTGGACAATTCATATAGGCTCAGGGCTTGAGCTTTATAGCTCCGAGCCCTAAACTCTAAACTGCGCTAAGACGCACTGGAATGGTCCTCATAGACTATGTGTTGTTTATGAGAGCAGTTTACAGGTATCATCCCTTTCGTGACATAGGCTAGACCCTTCTGTTTCCCTGTCCAAGTTGGTCTTGACCAACATGTTCGCTGCTTGTTTAAAAACAAAACTTTGCATTAGCAATGAAAGCGGTGACAGCATTCAGGCCAGTCGTGCTAGGAGTAGCGACAGAAAGATGAATGGCACATACTATGAGTAGTGGCCTTACCTATGTCAACATGCGCCCCCTGATGAAGGGGATCATGCACAGCATCGCCGTCACTCCAAGCAGGCAACCTTCCCAGAATGCATACTCCAAAATTGTATTTCCCTTGCTCGCATACATTTGAGAAGCACCTGTACGAGCAAAACCCACTTGATCAGACTGTTGATACTGAAGTTCCTGCATAGCCTTAATATACTATAAGCCCATAATTGCCAAGGTTGATGGTACTCAGGGTCATACAGGATTTTTAGTATTCACCGGAGGAAGCTCGCCGTGGATTCAGGCCAGCAGCGAAGAGGCGTGGCCGTGAGATGTTCGTGATGTGAGTATTTGCAAAAGTCATCAGTAGCGTATTTGTAGCAGTCATAGTATTTTGTAGTAGTCATAGTAATAGCACTAGGAATAGCATTACAAGTAGTAATTACTAGAAGTTGAAAGTATCAGGGTCAAGGTTACATACAGATATATATATATATGTGTATACACGGATTTAGAATTTAGGGTTTAGAGTTTAGGGTCTGGGGCCTCCGTATTCCGTTCCTTAACAAGTCAAGGACACTTTGCAAATTGGACTGCGCCAAAATCGGATTTCCATCTGGAAACGCGGCTCATGCAAGAACGTTTAGGAGGGCTAGTTCGTACCCTGCCTGGAAGTCATTGCTAAGGTTATGCCAAGCACCATGTTTCATAACCTTCATGTAAGGCTGTCCCATTTTGTGCTACTCCTCCTTCGCTTCCTCCTTCTCGTATTGCTGCTGCGGCTGTTATAGCTACTATTAATAGTAGTAATAGGCGTCACAAACCTCACTGATTGCAGGGTGTTTGAGCATCTCAAAAATCAAGGGACAGCAGGAAAGCATACTTGTCAATGCTCTGAGAGTTCAGCCCGAAAACCCGTCAGTTTTCAAGTGGGAAAAACCCCGACGAACTACTTGGGCTGCCACGGTAGTAGTGTGTAGGCACACATACATGATCGATCGTAGAGCTTTAGGGGCTATGCAACAGTACCACCACAGCCGGAAAGACGCCCTCTTCTCTGCCGAGCCCCAAGACGCAAATCATGCGCTCTTATACCACGAACGTTATTATTTCAGCCAGCGTAGATGCTCATTGGAAGCCGTACTGCGTTCCACGACATCGCCCGGGCACGGGCGCCCTTGTCTTCCTGTCTTCGGTTTGTCATGGCCGTGGCCATGAATTCAGAGAAATGCGCGCCTTACACCACGCTCGAGTAAGATCGTGTGGCTTACTACTACTACTACTACTACTACCACTACTACTACTACTACTACTATTACTACTACTGCTATTACTCCTCCTCCTCCTTTTCCTCCTCCTACTACTACTACTACTGCTATTACTACTACTGCTATTACTCCTCCTCCTACTACTACTATTATTATTATTACTATTACTATTATTACTACTACTATTATTATTACAATTACTACTACTACTACTACTACTACTACTCCTGCTGCTGCTGCTACTACTACTGCTATTCCTCCTCCTCCTCCTCCTACTACTACTACTACTACTACTACTACTACTACTACTTGCGCCCCTTCCTACCAACTATGTTCCCTGAAACGTCAGGGGTGGGCTGTCAAGAGCCTAAGAGGAGGAGGGTGGTGGTGGAACGTGCCTCACCCAATCATCAAACATGCTGTAAATGCATGTAAATGCCAGTAGTCGTTGCACGTGCGTTCTCCGAATTGACGTCACCATGCCCCGACCCAGCCCCCCCCCACTCCCCACCTTACCCCCAGTCTCTCCATGCATTACAAAAGTACAAAGCCTTTTGGCATTCTACGAAAGCCAGTTTTTCCACAGTTTTCGCCTGGTTTCAACACGCGCTATCTGGGAAGCATAGTTGGTAGGGAGGGGGCGCCTACTACTGCTATTACTCCTACTACTACTATTACTATTAATATTATTACTACTACTACTCCTAGTACTCCTACTACTCCTCTTCCTGCTGCTCTGCTAAGATGGGTTCTTGGCCTCCCAAGCTACGGCTACATCCCAGAAGAATTTGGTGATATAGCAGTTTCCATTTTCTTTTCAATTTTCCATTTTGCCTATACAACCCCAATATACCATATTGTAGTTTCCACTTTTTCCATGACCCTATTATGACTCCAATATATGCCGTCCGGCAGGTACTGATGGCAGCACTCGCCGTTGTTATCCTCCTGAGCTTGCCTAGGGTAGAAGTGCTGCTTGGCCACACTTGTTGTGCACGATTAGTTCTAAACATGGGGGTTATATAGTGGTTGTATAGGGATACAGGAAAAGAAAATGGAAACTATTATTTGGGGTTTAGGGTTTGGGCTTGTTGCAACTAGTTCTGTCTAGACTTTAGGAATTTCTAGTTGAGAGAAAAGGTGCTCTGCACGGAATGAAGGCGTCGGGAGCTGAAGGTTACCAATGTCATTGCTGCGATGAGAACAAACAACCGGTAGTGGAGGTTTGTTTCTCTAGGAATCTAGAATCCTTGCATGCTCAAAGAAGGACATAATCTTTGTGGCATACCCGAACGCTCTGCTGCAAATGAGCTGCAAGCACACCTGATACAAGTCGATACTTGGAGGGTCCTGGGGATGAATAACCCATATAAGCCATGCAGCAACCCCAGTTAGCGCAAACTTCTGTGCCATGCCTTGTTGGGATTGTAGTTCGGGGTTCATTGGCAGCCTTGAGGTTCAGATTGGGGTGTACTGCTCGTTGTCTATCCTGCTAGGGGTACTTGGTGTTTTAAGATGGCTCCCGAGCGCACGACGGCCAGAAAATATCAAAGCTCAAATGCCTTACCTGTGGTTACAGGGAAGAAGCAAGGGAAACGACTATGTCATTGGGACTATCTAGGGCCTAGGGGGTACTATAGGATACTATAAGAAACAGCCAAGGTTGCTGAAAGAGATTTGGCGGGCTGGTCAGCACAGACCAGCAGGAAGCCACACCAAGACAATCACAGCCTCCGCCTTTTTCTTCGCCATGGCTGCATTAAATGCTCTGATGCAAGTCGCAACTACTACATCTCACGGCCTGCTAGCCATCAAGTGGGTTCTGGCTGGGGATGAAGCTGGGTTTCCCTTGGTTGCAAGCCTGTCTCTTGTGGCAATCAACACAGAGCTCTTGGTAAGGGTAGCGGCTGTGGTACACATGAGAAGCATCCTGGCACACCTGGCAACAAGTAGAGACTATCGCATTGACTTCGGAGACATTGGCAGCCTGATGGGGACGCCGTTTGGTCTGGTATGCATAGCCTGGAATGTCACAGTTGCGCTTGTTTTGCTTGTGTGTACGTTGGAGCGTGTTTCGGAGCTGTGGAGATTGCTCCCATGGGTTGCAACTGCAGTAGGGAGCCTGCTTTGGGCCAACACTACTTTCAAAGGGATCGGCGCATCAACATGGAAGGACATGGAGGTCGTAGCAACAACATCCACCCCAGTAGCAACTGTGTCTGAGTTCTTGGCACTAGTGAACGAGGAAGATGCTATGTCGGTCGTGGAAGATTTTTGTGAGGAGCGCTCGAACTGGTGGTGTAGACTCGTAGCAACCTTGGGTACAGCACGCAGGCTGAGCTTGGAGGACAGGCTTCTTGAAAGACATTGGATGGCAGTGCTTTTTGCTGCATTTCCAGAGCATCCGAAGATGCGAGTGCTTCACACCATGTCCTTTGCCTTCTTCAAGATGCTACCCTTTGTGATGCCTGCCTTGCTCGTGGTCTACAGCCTGTCAAGAATGCCACAGATTGCGGCCCTTGAAGTCCTTGGTTGTGTGGTTTCGCCTGCCTTCGTCCCAGCCTCCTCAGAGTATTTCCTTTCGCTGGAGCCTGGATGGAACGCAGAGCTCAGTCTGAAGTTTGAGATGGAGGTGGGTAGCCTTCTTCGGGTAGCACTGTCCAAGCTTGCATCTCTATCAGTTTGTTGCTTGGAGCATCACGGGGACTTAGTAAGTATACTTATGTCTCCTGCATAATGATCCTACCTATCTAGATTATTAACCTACTTACCAAGTCCCCTTGAGACTGCACATGTGTTCTTTGCTAAAGGACGCGTCAAGAACTACCCCACAGGTGGGTCAAGCATCAAGGGTGCGCTTTTGCTGCAGCGGGCGCTGTACAACCCTTGACTCCACAAGACGCAAGCATTCGGAGGACCGCTGGCCAGCAGTCTAATGTGGATGCCTTAATATTTACCTGCATCATGCCTTTTCTCGGGATTGGATTAGAATACCGTGGATGCCAAAAACTCTGCATGACCCTAAATGCCCTGAGCCTTCAAGGTCATGCAGGATGTTTAGTATGAGCAGTAAACCCTGCAATCCCGACCGGAATCTAACTACCCATATGAGTCGCTGATGTCAAGATCAAACCCGAAACTTTAAACCCTCTCATAGTAATTTAGGCCCCTACAGTACCATCTCAAGGTCTTCTGGAAATGGTTTAAGACTTCTCTCACTAAAGCCTAACCGTGGGTTTAGGGGATCCTGGCAACATACGAGAGTCATAGGGGAACTGGCGGTGCTCCTGAAGTACCTGGGTGTCTCCCAGCATGATGGGTTTAGGGTTCAGGGCTCCCTACAGTACGGACTATAGTAGTTTGCAGTCTATATTGGGCACGCTACTTATGGAAACTAGCATTTCAGTGAGGAAAGTCTGGTAAAGTTTTTATGTTTTGAGAAGCTCCATTTGATGCGGGTGTTGTTCGCTTTGCTCCCATGGCGGTTTCCATAAACAGGGGGCCCGAACATACACCAAATATGCAGCAGTCCAGGGACCCCCCAACCCCGGCCACCCCCCCATCCCCCCACCCCACCCGCCAAAAAAACAAAAAAGATCACTGATTTGTGGAACCAGCTGCCTTATCGTTGCGAGATTGTTTGGAAAAAGTCTTGAGTTGTTTTGCAGGGCATTCTTTTCTACTGAAGCCTTGCCAGGAATAGCGGGTTTGCAGTCAGGTATTCGTTACGCTGGCTGTAGCAGGCACTCAATATCTTGGCTTGGCAAACGCTGACACCCCATTTGAGTAAGGGCTTATCGCTTCTCGTTAGTCGAGAAGATACCATCAAGACATGGACGACGGTTCCTAGCCACGTTTACCATACCGTTTCTGAGCTTTCGACCCAGAAGGTTATCATAGATTCTGCTTATGTCGTGGGCTTGCCAAGGGGTGTAATTCAACCCCAGGTTTGTTTTTGGGTAATGAGGAGCCAGGTAGCGGCCGGGAAATATTGCCTCATTTCAGGCGTAGTAGTGCAAGTTGGATGTGTTGAGACGGCAGCTTCAGCGTGCATTATTGTTGCTCTTACTAATAATCTAGCTGCTACCTATTTTTAATGTTGCTATGATTGCTGTTGCTGTTATTATTGTTAAGGTTATTTCTTTCTATTGTCATCATGGTAGTGTTATGATTATGATGATGCTGACTTTTGTATGTATTCTGATTATTATCAGCACTAGGTTCTATGCTTTAGTGTCAAGGTCAGGAAAAATCATCACCTGACCGCTAGCAAGGCTTGCTGTTTTGCACAGGGGGATCTAGAATTGTCAATCTGGAGTACAGGAGAACGGGGCCGAGAGTAGGCTAAAAGTTTGGAATTTGCACATGTCCAGAAGCTCATCTTGCGCGTGGTTTCCAATGTGAGGACTTGCTCATGACCGCGCAAGTTCCCAATAGTGACTTTGGTGCCTGCTCCTTGAGTCTGCATGGACTTCGCACTCGCGAGTATGCTTTCACAGTGGTGGCACTGCAAGGCAGGTCCGGTCTTCATCTAGAATCTAGAAATGGGGGTTTCCTAAAATTAGGGGCACCTTTTTGGGGGTCCCTATAATAAAGACTATAGCATATTGGGGTCCATATTGGGGTACCCAATTTTGGGAAACTACCAAATATCTAAAGTCAATAGCCCCTTTGAATACAGGATTCTCTACTTTATACTGAGGAAATATGTCTTCAGGCATGCATCTTTTGACATTCTGTTTGCTGCATAACATAGTCGTTACGGGACTTTTTGTGTTCTCAATGTGTTTGTCACTGCCAGCCTAGTTTGCTTCATACCGTATTAGGACGTAAACCCTAAGCTTTGAACCCTTAGCCCTCATCCCAATCAAGTCTGGGGGTGTGGCAGGGTCTGCTTGCAGGACTACATCTTTCAGGGATTGCAACCCAGCCAGCTTCCCTCACTTCCTATCTCGTCCTTGTTTAGGTGGATGTGTGACTGCCGGTATTAGGACACTTGATACAAATTCAAGCTGTCAATACGTTCATGAGGGATGACGGGTGCCATGAGCCACACATACACTGCTTCTGAAGCATCCTCCCAGACCCCGAAGCCCAAATCCCAAACCCAAGCCGCGACATACAGCTTTGCCAGGGCTTGGTAAATGAAATTGCTAGCTAGGTTACACGCGCAGTTTCCAAAATTTTGGCATATGCATGTTCTGCGAAACGTGGGGTGCCAGAGAGTAAATGGTACCCGAAGACACGGCGGGCGAATTTTCACGACCTCACTCATACTTAAAATGCGCCCAGCTTGACCAAATTTCAGGTTCTGAAAATTGTAAAGGACATGGCCAGATTCCAAACCCTAAGCTCTGTATATCCCCACATAACCCCTTGGTGACCCCAACATGACCCCTACATACCCTTAACACTTTGGAGAACTAGTGTGAGGTAGGCTCTTTACCGGGCATCCTTTTTTTTTCCGTTTCTCAGGACTCCCTCTGGTGTTTGTTATTCCTCCATTTCCATTGGTGACTACTTTACCCCGAAGCCTACATCCTAAATCTGAGTCATAGGTTTCATTAAAGGATTTTACCGCTCCATCAGCTGAGCCTGCAAAGTACCCGACCTGTGCGCATGTAGCACCTTTGGGCTTTTTCTGTACAGTCCTTTACACATCCGTAGCAGGGACTTCCTGAGGCACCCTTTGTAGAGAGCCCCCGAGGTGTACAAGGCTCTGCATCTTTCGGCAACCACACCACATCCTTTCCCACCTATGCGATCAAAGATCGCAACTACGAGGCACGCTTGAACCTAGGCTGTGTTATGCAGGCATTGAATTTGGTGCAGTTTGCAAGCTGTGGAAGTTGGACTTTGAGTATAGGTAAAGGGCAGAAGTGAGCTGGGTTTTATGCCTGTAGCCAGGGAGTCTACTTAATTCTCTCCTCCTCAACATCCCTCCTGTTTTGCCAGTGAAGCTTCTGTGCAGATTGAATTGTTAGCTGACACTAACCCGAAGCCCCAAGCCCTAAATAGATTTGGGTTGCCAGCTCAGGAACACAGACAGCGATGCAGAACTTCACATGCGAGCCTCGAGTTGATTGGAAGTGATTTCCAAACTATTCAGGGGTTGCAATACTATCCCCCCAAAGACATCCCGTCAGATTTAGAACCATATTCGGCCTTGTTAAGCTGTATCTGAGTCTCGGTCAAAATTACAGTTTACTGCATTTAGTCTAGGCCGTAGTTGTTGTCTGATACGAACGTCCTAGATCGATGGGCTGAATTCATCTAAGCTAGACTTGTGAGAGGATCCACCAACATCTGGAGATCGATAGGGGACGCCCCAGCGCAGAAAACAGTAACTCGAGGCCAAAGAAATCACCTCATATATTCCTTGTTGGCTCCCTGAACTCTGTGGGGATACCTTTTTGGGGCTAGTATTTTATTTCAATGCATTGACTATAGGGTCTGAATGATTACCATGCTAGATTCCTTGTAACAAGATAGTATGGGGTACCTCAAATTCACCTCAAAATGCTATTGGCAATTTTCTGGGCATCTGTATTCAAGCATACCTACATCTTATCCCTATACCCGGACACGCATTTCGCAGACCGAAATCCCGATAGTTGCAAAGTTCCCTGAGCTGCTAGCGTCTGACAAACTCTACAGAAGTCTCATGGCCGTGCTTCCAGTGTGTAGTTATGCATGCGTGTCGCTCTGCTCAATAGACCCCTTCTGGCTGAACGCGCGAATCGGACCGGAATGGCTCCTGGTATTTCCAACCGTAAATCCACCAGTATCGTGCATGGAGAAGGTCTTGCTATGCAACGTCATTACAAAGTTGTGGCTATCCAAGGCCTCAAGGCTTTGGTGAATGGGATGAAACACTATGATTGTTGCTGTCACTGATACTGTTTTGGTTACTCTTACTACAAGTATTGCCTGACTTCAGCTGTGCCAGGCAGCGCACGGATGATGCGGTTCTTTTGTTATCTTGGACCTCAAGCCCCCAAAGCTCGAGCCTCAAACCTCAAACCCTAAACTCTAAAGCCTAAAGCCCTAAACTGTAAAGGGTAAATCATTAAACCCTAAACTCTAAATCGCAGGCGGTTTTCAGAATCAAAGCGCGAATCCAAGGAGTAAAAGCAAAGATGGACACAACGCATATGAACGCGTCACGGCTGTCCTTGGGAGCATCTTGGTGCTAGGTTCCTAAGTAAATTTATGAGCCCACGGGGCCGTGTAGTAACCCCAGAAATCCCAATTTCTCACCTACTTATGAAGTCCCCATGACCCTCCAAGTAAGGAATTATGGGGCCTGTAGGGTATTTCACCCTAAGCCCTAAACTTTTTGCTAATAGTAGCATCCATAGCCAAGGTGGAGCACTCAGGGCAGTGGTGTGGGGCTAGCACAGAACTAGAAGGCTGCCGCCCGGTGGAGGTATTTCAGCCGCAAATGAGACGTTGTTCTAGTTTTTGCGGGTTCTGTGGCCTTCCTGCTATTCCTGTCTGGCGCAGTCATCCCATGTGCCACTCACGATGTTGGTTTTAAGACCTTCATGCTTGCGAATGATGAATTACGAAAGAACAGCCTTGGTCAAGAGTTTCAATGCCTGTAGCAAGGCTCCTGGCCCACTTTCAGCAATTACAGAACAAGAGATTACACTCAATCCCCGTAAAAAAAATACTACCTCCTAGCTGTCAAGTGGCAGTATCATGTGACAACAGTAAGGTCCTTTTATTGTTCTCTAAATTTGGGGGTTGGGGTTGCTGCCGCGAGATTTGGCATGACGGTCAACCTGAGGTTTTCTCCGAGGGTGCAGGCATCTATGCTGTTCAGGCCACATCTGCGGTTTCAGGTCTAGGGTTGGTTTAGGGGATGATGGTTGTGAAATTCAGACTCACTTCGCCAAAGTCTAAACCTTAAATTCCAAATCAGAATGGGAAGGGATGTTCGGTACACGATTCCTGTTGGAAATCGGCCTTAGGAACGACCTAGACCCTTCCTTTGAAAGATGTGAAAAGCCTTCCGCACCTCACGCCAGGAAATTAAGAGATTTCATGCCAAATTAGATGTTACCGGGTTTAGTTATACAGTCTCAGAATGGTACATATCTGGAGCTTTACTCGGCTGTGTGTACTGATTAAAGCTGTTTGCGTGATCAAGGGGTGTGCGACTCCGTGACAATTCTGAATCTTCTTGACAATTTGCAATCCTTACAAGATGAGCAGAATTGCACTTGTTGCAGGGTCCATAAAGTCCCTCACGCTCTAGATAAGTCTGTGTATTTCCTTGCTGACATTTTTTCGTCCATAGACCCAAACTTCAGCAGGAAGTCTTTGCTGCTTAGCCCAGCATCGATGATTTTCTCAAGCAGCTTTAGAGCTCAGGTGCTACTGTGGCTACTAAAAATCCTGCATGACCCTAAGTACCTGATACCTTGGGAATAATGGTACTATAGCATATTCAGGTCATGCAAGATGCTTAGTATCAACAGTAGGGTTTGGGGTTTCGGGGCTTCTCCCTGACATGCGACAAGCGCAACTCAAAGCTTTTATGCCCCTGATCCTCCCAAGCAACGCCTCACATTGAAGCCATCAAGACTCTTAGCTGTTATGTTTACGCTCTCTACGACCCCCCACCCGCAAAGTCCCCTTCCTTCATTCCTCCCCTCATGCAACCATACTTGGAGGGTGAGAGGGGCTTCTTCAGTAGGTCAGAAACGGTGACAATTTGGAATAAGCGGGATGGTTATCTGGCTGATAGGGCCCCGGACCTTCCCCATACCTCACTAGGAGGGGCAGCTGGGTGGCGGAACATACAGCTTGACCCTGACCTTGCGGCCAAAGCCCTCGAAGCATGTCTTTGGTTCCTTGCGCGCATTTAGGCGTGTCGCAGCATTGTTAGGGTTCAGGGCTTCAGGGTTTAGTCGTAACATTTCGGTTGCAGGTCCTGCATTGGTTCTGCTGTTTTTGAGAAGGCAACCGTGAAGGTGATTTTTTCAGGATCCAACATGGTCACGAGGGGTGTTGAGCTTTCTTGGTTCAAAATCGGCGTTGCTCATTGACCCTCACATTGATGCAGCGCCTCTGGGACGACCACGCCATCGGAGCTTCCATTCCGTGTGAAGAAATAGTGATCTCTCAAGGTCCCTTCAAGGAGGATGCTCGTGTTTTGGTACGTTTTCTTTACAGATCTCACTTAAAGGGACAGTAGTCTTTCCTTGCGCTTAGCTGGGGGTCTGAAATGGTGATCCTTGACGATCAAGAGACTTGGGGTCTGAAAGCGTTCGGGAACTATTTTGCCCCCTTTCCAGCCTGGCCATTTCAGACCCCTCATGGGAGCATAGGGTTTGGCATGTATCTTAAACTTCACCGGAATCCACCTAGGATCACACACTGCATGTGGCCGCGAAGTAACTGGTAGCTGGTACCCTGCCGCTGGTGTTCACCACAGAACATGTTCATGCCCAGTGACAGTGAGACCCCATTTTTCACCCACATTCACCATAATCGTGTTCCCAACTCTTTCCACGAACTGGCGGTATAGTCCTGCTAGTGCTCTCTGTGGGACTCATGTTTATTTGGGGAGCATCCGCTGACGCCAATCCCTCAACCCTAAGCCGTAAACCTTAAACCCCCAGCTCTGAACCGAAAATCCTAAATCCTGAATCAACCCTGGACCCCAAACCCTAAACACTGAACCCTCAACCCTAAACTAAGCCAAACCCCAAACTCATACGGAACCAAAAATAGCCGAGGCCTGGACCACTTGAACTGTTCCTACACTTTTCAGGCACCCCGGTGGCAAAGTGAGAAGCAGGGCTTTAGGGTTCAGGATCTAGGGTTTAGGATTCAGGGTTATTCAGGGTTCAGGTTCCTAAAGTTGGTTTGGGGCCACCTGGTGTTCTTGAGAGAGGATTCCATAGCATTGATAGTCTCAGTGTATGATCCGCTACCTGAAACGGCTGGGTTCCGCCCAGGTGCGTGTCGTCAACCGGGAGGTGAGGCTAGCGCAGCTTGCTCAAGACGTTGCGGAGCGTCGTGCTACCGTGGATGCTCTCGAAGGCTTTGATCAAGGAGGCGATGCTGAGGCGGCCCAGCAGAGATACCAAAAAGCCTTGCGAGAGCGGGACAGCTTGCTGAAGGACGTCTACAAGGCCAAGCAGGCTGAGCCCATAGGCGGAAACCTGTTTAGTGTTAGCAGGGAATGAAGGAATGGAAAAAGACAAAGGAGATGATTATGTGAGTGGGGGTTTACGGAGGGGCTACAGAGACTCACTCCTCTATTTCCTATTCATAGCCAGTAAGGAAGGGGTACAGTGACCTTCCTCGCTGTTGGTCTGACGGGAACCGGCAAATCGGAGCTCTGCCATTGGATGACGGGAAACAAAACGGACTCTAGCTCGCATGCCAAGTAAGATATTCCTGCTGTTGTATACAGTACTGAAAGCCCCAAAAGGGAACGATACTATGATTAGTTCGGAGCATCCCAGCTGTGAACCAGGCATGCTCGCCGAGTGCCACCATGCAATCACACACCAGCACGGTGACCTTCCTGAAGACAAATCCCTTCAACGATTCCCACATTTTGACAGAATTGGAGTGGATTGATACACCAGGCAGAGGGGATACAAGGGGCGAAGCGACAGATGAGAAGATGTGGAACCAGACCATAGACGAGATACTTCGTAAAAGCCAGGACCAGCGGATTGATCGCATTGTCTGGGTGGTGAATGCTGCTTGGCAGCGCGGCGTGGCTATGCGGGAGATGATGCTCAAGGAGTTACGCCGTTCTTTCGGATATCACTTGTATAAACATTTGGACATTGTGTTCAACTTTCTGCCGCACATACCAAACAAGACTGAGTATCGAGAGGAGGTTCTGATTCCTCAGAGGGAGAAGTTCACAAATTGGATCATGGAGCAGGAGGACAAGCTTTTCAATTGGTCGCCAAAGCTCCGAAAAGAAGTTTCAGCCGAAGTGAACTGTACTGGCTTCTTCGGAGTCAGCATTGATCCAGCCTACTTGGCGGACCGCCCGGCAGAGTTGCCTTTGTCAGCACCATACCTTGGCTGGTTCACACCCTTTTCGTACCCCGCTGGCATGGACGAGCTCATGAGAATGTTCAAGAAGTCGGCTAGCGCCTCGCTCGCAAGCAGGAACACAGGATGCAAGGATATGAAAGGCAGAAATATTGGACTCGGTTTAGGGTTGGGGATGGCTGACATTCTCAGCGCAGCTGCTTCATTAGCTGTGTTGTGTAAGCTTCAAGAATGTTATGCCGCCTGGTAGAGACTGAATGGTCGTGCATCTAAGCATTGATTCGCAATGAATTGCTCATAAACAAACAGTATGCCAAGATAAGAGTATGCCGTGAGCTCCAAAGATCACAAACTGTATCTCGTGCTTCGGTACAGAAAATTTGGCTTCTCAGACAAGTCCAGACTGTTGAGGAAGCAAGGTCCTGAACGTGCTAAAGTTGCATGAGCACTTCACGTTTTTGCCAGGCGAGTACTTGCTCTGGCTTAGGCTGATGATCACTGTCAGCATTCACATGCTGAAGCTTTGCGCACCAGGAAATAACAGGAACCTGCCCTGCATCACACAGGGTCGGTTTCATACAAGATCGGTGTTTCTGGGCATCGCGATGTGAATAAACCCAACCTCACGCCTTATCCACTTTGCCTCAACAAGCAAGCTCTGAGGTTGTGTTGAAGCCAATGTCGAAGCATGCCCGGAATGATTTTAAGCTGATGAGTTTACACAGATATTTCCAGTGACTCCAGCCCTCAGTTGCAGGATCGATTCCTGCGACCCCGACATTCACACATCAACGCCTCAGGAGTGGTACCTCTAGGATTTTGCGTGATTTGAGACACAGACGAGGGAAAGTCCTAAGTCACATCAATGGCTCCTTTGGGGCGCAACGTGAGGTGATGATGGCGCTGGACTGCTTCTGGCTGACAAGCACCCACGAACTGGCCCAGGCGGAACTCATGGGTCCTCTAGTTCATTGTGTGCTGAATGCATTGGGATGTAACATTCATGCAAAGGTTTAGATTAATGAATGTAGGTATAGATACCACGGGGGCGCCCCAAAAAATTCAAGAACGCTGGAGCCGCCATAGTGGCCTTGGCAGGGGTACAACACCTGATTCGCCATGAGTGTGGTGCTATCAAAAAATAATTTTGTTTCTGGATCGGGAACTTCAGGGAGTTTTCGAAAATGCTGCAGGCATTTGATGAACAATTCTAAGCATTCATTGGTTCATCCCCACTGACTGCCGTGGAACAAAAGCTTGATTAGGGCGTGCTGGCTGTTTGACTGCCTGATCTTGCACGTTTGGGCCTGCTGGAGTAGTGTGGTGTTCTGGGCAAGGTGACGCAAGAATAGGGAGTAGCATCACAGTCGCTGATTGTGATTAAGCAGGTTTCGCTGTCTTCCTTTCCGCGGAGCGTTGCGGACAGAGCGTGGCGCAAAACACTCACTCATTGCTGCCATGAACGGTTTGGGGTCACTGTTGGGGTCCCAAGACGACTTAGGGGGGAATGTGGACATGGGTCCGAGTCAAAATGCAAGAGGCCCGAATTCCTACCCTACATATCCTTAGGACAGTCCATATGGGGGATTGTCAGAATTATGGTCCCTTTTTTGGGTCCCTATTAGAATACGGGGCCTAATTTAGGGGACCCAAGAAGGGACCATAATTTTGACAATCCCTCATATACAGTATTAAATAGGCACCAGGAAGGACAGATAATGATAATCAGCAGGTTATGCATCCTGCGTGGATGGCCCCGTGGAATCAGCCCCGACACTCTCAGTCGCGCATGGTCCTCAATGAAAAGAAGGAAGACCTATTATTCTAGAACTGCTACTAGTAGTAGTAGTAGTAGTAGTAGTGCTAGTGCTAGTGCTAGTGCTAGTGCTAGTACTAGTAGTGGTGGTGGTGGTGGTGGTGGTGGTGGTGGTAGTACTACTGCAACTGCTACTGCTACTGCTACTGCTACTACTACTACTACTGCTACTACTAAGAATTTCCGAGTACTGCTGCTGCTGCTGCTGCTGCTACCACCACCACTATTAGGGGGCATGATGTTCCTAGGTTAGTTGTATAATTGTAGTATAGGGTACCTCAAATAGACCTCAACAGAATGCCGGCAATTTTCTAGGCTTATACAATGCAGCAGCATTGTTCATCGCTAAGGTACCTCAACAATTGAAACAAAGTACAATGCTACTATGCCAAGACAAGTCGCTCAAAGTCTAGTCAGAGGAAGTCATCACTAAATCATTTCTGAAGACCCCCGAGAGTGGTCCACAAGCACCTCGAGAAAAGAGCGCTCCACAACACTCCAACAGCACGCCAGACGTCCCCAAGAGCAAGCAGAAATACCACAATCAGCCAAGATGACGAAAGACCACTTCAAGAGCACTCCAAAGTCTTGCAACAGCCTGCGCGGACCACTCCAGTAGCGTTCCAAGACCATTCCAAGCTTGCGCATCCCATGGGACTGTTGCGAGAGAGTTCGACTTGCATTCAAAGCCAAATTTCAAGGGCGCTGTGTCGACAGTTGCGCTGCCGTCCAAAAGCCACGACAATTATTAGTATCAATAGTATTTCTATGATTCTTAGTATTAGAAGTCTTAATAATTACTATTGCTATACGTATTTTACATATTTGTAACATTAATGTCTTGCAATTATTAGTCTCCAACGCCGCGCCGAGCCTGTTGTCAGATAGCTTGAGCAATGAAATTATATTATCGTTGACAAAGTCGAATTTGTTAGGGTGGGTTTAGGGTTAGATATAGATGGCGTCCCAGCTTCTTTGATGGACGTCATCCTTAAAGAGGCTTGTCTCATCCAAAATCCGACAACCCAAGCTTTTAAAGTCAGTTCTGGTTAGCAGGGGCTGACGGAGTGGAAAAGAACATGAAAACAGCCATATTCTTGGGCGTTATGTAGGGATTACTATACGGATCCATTCCTTCGTTCCCTTTGCAAACCAGAGGTAAGTAAAGCCTTCGGCGGAGGCATCTTGCAAAAAGCCAGCCTGGTGGCTTATGTCTGTGGGCTGCGTCCTGATGAGAAGGAGCAGGCCTTGCTGAAGTCGGGTATCGTGGCCGTTCACATGCAGGCCGAGGGCACATCTAGCGGTTTAGGGTTTAGGGTTCTGCTTAAAAAATACCCGAATGGAGCATAAGAATGATAACCACCATCGGCTATTTCGACCAGCTCTAGGCATGCTGTCATGCCTCTCATCTCCAGAATCGTGCTTATACCAGCGTGTAATTGTGTGACCTAGGGTTTGATCCTGCCTTGCCCATGTCAAGGAGCCTACCGGAAGCAAGTAGGCGTTTGAACATGCTGGAGAAGGGGACCGTTCTGGAAAAGCCTGAAAGTATTTCAAGCTCATCTTCACCATAGAGAGTCGTCGTAGTGATTCCCAGAATCTTGCATGTGTCCGTCAGACACGATAAGCCCGGACTTTTCAGCGCAAGCAACCCCTCAAAAATTCTCAAGCCCTTAGGCCCTCAGCCTGAATTTGTTGTTGGATGTTGTTGGTGTCTTGCAGGTTGAAGGCGAGCACCTCGACTCGGGTGATGGCGTTATTATGATGCCGAGCACGACTTCCTGTGGAGATCCAGGTCCTTTATCGATCAGTTCTGGGATCCGGTTATCATCTGTATTGAGTCATTGCACAAGCTGTGATTCTTGAGGATACGTTTGCTGTCGTTCTGTTGCTTTTCGAGACATCCCGGGGGGTTTGGGCTTGAAATTTTCGGGGTCAGGTTCTGGCTTTGATTATCAAAGATTGCTTGCAAATGTTTGGCTTCAGGCGTTACAAAGTAAGAAAGATTGACCTTGTTTCTGCCAAGGACAGCAATTGGATCTTGAGGAGATTAGTTAAGAACAACGTGAATTTGGCAGTATCACCATCACTGTATCATAACCACTGCTCCTGCAGCCCATCCCGCCTGGCTTACCGCTGGCAGCTCTGTTGATGTCAGATTTGCCGAACGGCACATATGAAAAAAGTGATTTGCTAAAAAGCACTCGGCGACTAAGGTGTGAGTGACTGGCCAGAGATGCTTGCCAGTGTTGGGCAACAACGTGAGCACAACGACACACATGCACTATACCGTGTGCCTTGGCGGCCATCACGCACACAGTTCTGCTTCTGTGAGGCACCAGCTTGCAATCAGTCCTGGCGCTTCGGGCAGTCTGCACCCGAAAGACAGATTCGGCCATCGGAGGAAAAGTGTCCAAATCCCATTGGGTACAAAAAGTTGGATCGGGATCTATCCTATGCAGGGCTTGTTGCTGTTGGTGACCTCATTGTCGCCCCACCAGACGAAGCAGATGCTATCATGCTGCTGAACGCCACAAGCGGACAAGTACAAAAAGTGGCCGTGAACCAGAGCTTAAATCGGACACGACCTGCGAAAGCAGGATCGGATTTGAACGGAGACGAAGATTCGGAGATGACGACGACGACTGCGATCCCCGGCTTGGTTGGCAATGATGCCCAATGGTGTGGTGTAGCCACAGACGGCAGACATGTATATGCAGCTCCTTGGAATGTCATGGATATCCTTGTGTTCAATGTGGCCACAAGATCCAGCTATGGAATACCACTTGATGATCACATCGATGCTAACGACAGGTTCATCGACATAGCAGTAGGCGACAACAAGTTGTACTTGCTGCCTGGGCGTGGACGAATACGTTTAGCCGTTGTTGACTTGGGAAGCAACTTGAATCAAGTGGTTTGGGGTTTAGAGTTTAGAGGGCTTGTTCACCTAAGTTTACGTCAAGACTTGGAACAGACTAAGGCAAGGATGTACAGCTGAAGGACCTTTCCAATTACAGCGGTGGTTTTTTGGCCATGGTTCATCACATTTTCTTGTTGTTTTCGCAGAAGCGGTCAGCAACGAGAAGCTTCCTTTGTCAAGATTGCAGGAGTCACTTGTGTACTGCCCCCTTTCAGCAACAGTCGGACTAATGTTTAGGACCATCAGTGGGTGGGGGGGCAATACCCTATGACTGACGCAGGTCAGCAGGAGGCTGACTCGCCCTGGCTCGGAGCAGTTATTGACAGTGGCAAGCTATTCCTGATCCCGCACAGCTCACCGAACCTAGTAGTCATGGACACCAAATCTGAAAAGATTCTTGGTGGCTCTTGACAGGTATAACAGGTTCTTTTCGACTGGCGGTAGCAAGTGGTTGGCAAGGTAAGCAGAATTGGTCGACATCCTGTTCCTAATTCTCACCATCCATGCCCTTATTCCCTACCAACCCAAGCCTTACATGGCTAAAACGAAAGCCCGGCCAGAAGAGCATACGAGGATCATCAAAGTTGACGCTTCCGATAAGGCGATTGAGGGTTTCGGCGCTTGGGATCATTGTTCAGCAAACTTTTGGCTTTCCTGTGAAAAATCATTCTACCACGGATGGGAAGCTAATTACAAGCTCCTCACGACTATGCTCCCCTGGGCCGCTCAGGTTCTCTGGGGCTATATCTATGGGCTGGTTGCGTGCAAGCAGAGGGCTATGTGTATGCCGTTCCGCATGATGCAGAGAGGCATATCTTCTCGCAGCATGTGAGCTGTAGTCTAAACTTCTCAATGGGATTGTATAGGCGATTCAATAGGGGATTCTTTTAGAGCTTATTACGGGGGATACTAGGAGCTTAGTCTATAGCTCATGTGTGTCCTTGCTTGAAACAAGTGTTAGATTTAGTCTGCAGTGGCTGGTGTTTCGTTTGCAAACGTCAGAGTTTGGGCTTCGTCCGTTGCTGTACCCTGCCTGGGCATGCATGCAGGTCCTCCAGGTCCGCTGTTAAGACTTGGGTCAATTTATTGGTTTACATTGTTAGCCGAATCTGTTCCCTTGTGGTTTTCGACAGAATCCTGACAATGTAGGTACGCGCACAGTTCCTGGGGCTTGCTTTTTGGATTGAGGGGCCGGGGTGTAGAGTTTGCGCTTACGGTGCTATTCTTAAGCGCTTCATCATTGAGTACACAAGGGCAGCGTGAAGACCTTGATATCCCACTGTCCCTGTACCCAAAGCTTTGTTTTTGCAAGCGGTTTCTGAATTTCTCTGCTTCTCATGAGTGTGAGAGTTTCTGGACATGACCTGACAAAGTACAGACCACAAGTAAGAAAGCTTGAGTAACAAGGCTCCGTACCCCAGCTTCCTAGAGAAGACCTAAAAGTTCCCGAAGCCATGCTGACAGGATTCTGGTGGTGGATGTGAAGCGGCCTCAGGAGCTTGAGGCCATCTACTGCAGGGTTTAGACCGGCAGCATGTACTTGCATTTTTTAGCGCTGATCACTAATGACCGTCATTATTGCTGACGTTATCAATCTGCTTGGGCGCATGATGTTGCTCGAGGCTGTAAGCACCACCAGCGTGGAAAAGTCGTCGGGGAAGTGGTGGGGAGCCGCAGTGAGCGACCACTACTTTGTTGCCTGCTTGAACCTTACTTAGAATTCGCGCTTAGTCAGGTGCAGCTCTTCTGAGATTGCCTTCATGAGCACATCAAGCACATTAGCTTGCAACCTTAACGAAATTGCTTCGACCAGCTAAGGTAGCAGCTCCGCGGAATGCTTTAGAAGTGCTTGTCATGGACTTGCACACCAGGCATGTCTACGGAGTAGCAAATGTTGAGGGATCTGACAGCTCTGATAAATGGAGGAATCCGGCGGTGGTTGCGCACAAATTCTTTGCCAGCCCAATATCATCAAACTCCATATTGGAGATCGATTTCACAAACCACACTCACGAGGTTGACCGACTGGAGTAGGCAACCAAAGGCAGTGTGAGGGTCAAAAGGGCACTGCTGTTTGTATGTTTTGGACTTAAATAGTCGACACGCGGCGTATTGCATCAATTTGCATAGCATAGAATGTGGAGCGCTGCAGCTGACGCAGCTCAGTCTTTTCTTCAGCAACTCAACAGTGTAGTTCCACACTGAGGCAAGATGTTGCAGTTTGGATTTTCATGACTCAAACAAGTGTTCTATACCTAGAGCAGTAGCAGCTCTAGAAATTGCAGGCTTTTTGTGGCGCAGAGCCAAAATTCCTTGCTGTGGCCCTTCAATGCTTTCAGTCCATTTTGCGAGTCTTAGCCGCCACTTGCAAACAAGGCTCTACATGCCGTTTGGAATCATGGAACTCCTCAGTTATAGCCTTCCAAGAATTCTTTGCACCAGTCCTCGGCGGGCCTGCCAGGGGAGGGCCCGCTAGATAGCAGTTTATTTGTTCCGATAATGCTTATCTATCTAGATTCGCTGACCCACTCCTCCGCATGAGTCGTGCATGGATGGAATCCCGTCTCCGCACTTCTTAGATTCTGCTCTGTGCTTCCGCCCTATCAGCACGAAGATTTTACTCTGTCAACAACCGGCGTGCTTTCAGGCTCTCAGCGCATGTCACAATCCGTGGTTTGGCTCGGTCCTTGCTTTCTTCTTGACAGGGCTTTCCGCTCCCTCTTCTGTTTCTTATTGTTTACATTTCATGCGGGGTGTTCCAAAATCAAGAGGTACTTAAGAAGTAGATTCCAAGCCCCGATCCGGCATTGTCCCGATATTGCAATGGCGCGTCCATCTTTGGCCTCTTCGGCTGCAGTTTCGTCAAGCAGTTCGAAGCAAAGTCCGGGCTCAGGACCTGGATGACCTAGCTTCTTTTCCTGCGGGCTTGGCTAGGGCCCCTTCAAGCATTGTTAGATTTTTCGGTTGGATGAGATCGGGCGGGATTGAAAATGTTACTACGCAAGGACTCCAGCTTAAGCTTTACACTTGTTCGGAATTGATTTATTAGGGCGCGCAGGGGGAGAGCCTAAACTCCAAGCTTGAAATCCGCTAACCCTTCTAACCGGAAGGATGGGCATTGCTTATATGGTCTCTTTCCAGCGAGCAGGCGCTCTTGCATGCTTTGGTCAGCAGCTGCAGGACTGCGTACTTCTAGTGATTCTAGTGTCTTTCTGGGCAGGGTTTTGGGGCTTGCCACGGGCCGCTCTTTGGGGTGGGGCAATTTGCAGGCGCTAGGATTTGCGACTTGATTCTGAGGCCCTGCCCAAGGAAGTTATTCTAGGATTGGGTAGGAACAAGCCTAAACCCTAAAGCCTAAACCCTAAAGCCTAAACCCTAAACCCTACCCCCTTTAGTTCTGGAGTCCGGTGGGCATAGTGAATGGGACAGAAAGTTTTGGGCCCGGGTGTGGAGAGTCCTGGGGAGCTGGAGCAGCAGCGAAAAGTGAAGCTTTGCGTGCACGATGTTCATTCTGCAAGCATGCCCAGCCTATGCTGGTCAACCTATGAAAATACAACCCAATACCTTTGTGCAGAAACAGTCCCTAAGAAGGGACCAGTAAGTCTTCTAGAATCGCTTGAGATAATCAAAGCACTGAACCCTCTTGCTCCCCATGCTTTTTTAGCAGAAAGACCGGGGACCTTCAGGCAGCTGTCTTGGATCGGCAGTGTAAGATTCCGCCCAAGTGAAGTGTGCTTTTGAGACTCGCCCGCCAGGTGCTGGCGGCAATGCTCCAGGCTGCAATCGCCTGTCTTGCTCTTCGGGCTTTTTTGGGCTTCTTGGGAAGCCTGTATGCCCGTGCCCCAGGACTCAGACCCAAGCCACAGCTGGGTCGCTGGGCAGGAGAGTTCAATCATGTATTGCTTTCTTTTCTGGGCCATCTTTGTTTGTTTTAGTGTTTATGGCACCAATCTTTCTTTAGTCTCCTTAAGCCTCCTTCAAACATACTCCTTGTTTTGCCTTCATGTAGCTAGCCTCCCAAGATTGTAACTGTCCATATAAGAATGGGGTTGGGAAATTGCCTGCTCTAGACCTCAACTTCCCCCTGCATTAGGTAAGTCCGGTGAAGAGACGTCGGTGAAGGGAATTACTCCGAAGCCGATGTTCTTTGTCTTGGCGCTCGCCAACCCTATGATGAAGGCCGAGCTTTTTCTATCAATACCTGCTTCAAAGCAGGAACAAGAGTCCGTTGGGGTTCTGACATGCGCATAATTGAGATCACCTCAAAGTTCCAATTCTTTGACTCAATTTGCATTCACGTGTTCGCATGCGTAAGTCCCTTTGAGCGTGGGCTCTGCAAATTTTCGAGCCACAAGGCAAGCAGACGCAGCAGGGAAGGCGTCCTAGGTGATATCACTAGGCGAAAACAAATTCGAACAGCATCCATTTCAAGCCCTTTGCGTGACATCTTGCATTTTTCATATGGGAAGCCCTAGATGTTTGCATCGGTTGCAGGAGCTTCAGCCTATTTGTTCAAGCCTCCATCCATACCAAGCGGATAGAGGTACAGTATATGTCATATACGGGTTGTACACGCGCTATATCCGTTTTTTCCTCACTAGCCACCCGTAAGATGTGCTTGGCAGCCTGAAGGTGCTTCTGTTGAGGCTCAGCTGATCTCAGCTGTAAAGGTTGCTTCGCATTCTTTGCAGCGACACTGGATATCCAGTGTCCAGCCATAGAACCCATTTGAGCTCTAGTCTGAAGTCCATGAAGGGAGAACATATACAGGATTATATATTGGATTACTGTAGGGGTTATTAAGCGGGATGCTAGGAGTTCAGATTTTTCCTCACCTTGGAATCCTTAGCTACTTGAAGCCCTGAAGAAGCTCTGAACTTTCCAGTTGTTCACCTACATGGAGAATCATGGGGACTGAGCAAGTAGGTTACAAACGCAGATAGCCGTGATTCTGCTTATGTGGATTATAGCGGTTATTCGTGTACTTCCTAAGCCCCGCTTACCCCCTAAATGGCCCAAGGTGTATCTGAGATCATCGTCTACAATTATCAAGGTGTAAGCAGGCCTTTTCTTGCGTCATTGCGGGTCAGACAGCCTGACGCGCTGCAGGTGGGTACTGCTGTGGCTTCCGGGCTGCTAGCAGTGAAATGGCTCCTGGATTGATCTTAAGGTTTTCTCGCGTTTGAACGCACAGTGGACATGGTAGACCATGAAGAGGTTGAACCTGCAGCTCAACCACCATGAAAACATTCCTTCACAGGAGAAAAAAGCTGTGTGGGCTTATGAATTTCTTGACTCGGACTAACGTTCTTGGCTTCTCTTTTTTAGTTGATTTCCAAAGCAATCTTACACCAGTTAGCTAGTGGACAAAATCATCGAGCAACCTTGTTCTCCGAAATGGGTAATTCAATTCACAAATCCTTGAGCAAACCTTCTGCAAGTTAAGCTGGAGAGGGCCAGTGGATCTCTATCTTTATACTGCCCCTTTGCTGTCTCCGTACGTTCCTCGATATTCGCTCCCCTTTCTCATTTTGGCACCAGTAAGTCAGGCTCTTGGCAGGGGAAGAAGCTGGTCTTCCCCTTATGGCTTGTTTCTTGGTGATCACAGTGAATACAGCTACTTGACTGGACATGCCTGCGCAACTGTCGGGTCAGGCTTTACGCTGTTAGGGTGGAGAATTCGGGTTCAAAAGGTTAGGTTCAAGCACACTTCTGCATCTGAGGAGTTGCTGACTATGGTTGCCTTGGTCGCGCACTTGCGCGCTATCCTGGTTGACTTGGCAAGTTGCAATCAGGTGGCTTGCTGTCAAAATCGGGCTTACCTTGCATGGGCGATCTCCAATCTTAGAGCTGAGTTCATGACCCAAGACTTACCTTTGGCTAGCTGGGAATGAAGGAATAGAGAAGAACATGGAAATGATTGTAATGGGTTATACAGGGACTACTATAAGGATCCATTCCTTCATTCATAGCACGCCAAAGGTAAGATAATAAGTGATGTGTAATCCAGTATCCAGAGGCAACCAAGCACGTGTGGGTCTAGCTGGAAACTTTTGGTTCTGTGAGCCATGCGGGCAGATGTGAACACAGAGGCTTTCAGGATGTGCACGAGAGGGCATGAAATGTGAAATGCTGCAGAAGCACATGACTTAGACACAACTCTAAGTGAACGCCTTGGTTGGAGGCACCCTGCACATTTTTTGCCTTCAATCCTTGCATAGAATAAGGGAGACACCTTTCACTCAATCTTTCAACAATCAGTGTGGGATTAGAAGGTGATTGCATGGCCCCTTTTCATGAATTTTGAAGTTAAACCCTTAACCCAACCCCAAAAAACCTAGAAATCCCAAACCCTGTATCCCTAGATATCCCCTACAAGCTATTTGACTGCTCAGGTTCGGGTGAGATTCACAAGTGTCACTGGCCTGGCAGGGGCTGCTTTAAGCCGGACCTGTCTTGTCCTGCATCTTGGCAAGGGAAGAGCACTGGGAGATTCAGTTCCAGTCATACATAGGGCAAGGTTTAGGGGCTTGCAGCTTAGAGTAGCTGTAGGCAGGGTTGTAAATTAAGCCAAATAGGTCAAAGCTTGATCTTCCCCTTTCTAGACCCAACCTAGTCTCACCTTTCACATAGGGGTCATGCAAGGAGGAAGCAACATGTTGGCAGTTTTTTGTCTTAGCAATAGGACATTGAACAAGATATTGCAGCATAGCTTTATGCACGTCCGGTCCTTAAGTATGCTGTTTAATTCAAGCAGCCAAAGAAAAACCGTCTTTGTGTTTCGATCGGCTCCCATTACGATGACAGGAACCTCGTGGGATCCAGCATCTTCCTGGTTTACCTGTATGACCGACCATGGAAATTCCTTGCGTGGCAGGGTGCGACAGTGGGACTTCTCGTTTGGGCAAACGCCAGCTTCACAGGTATTGGCACAACATCTTGGAACGACATCCGCTCATTGGCAGCAACGTCGGATCCGGTGATGAGTGTTTCAGACTTCCTGATGAAGCTGCGTTTGGACTCGGCAAGTTCAGCTTCGCCATCTACAGGAACAGTCAGCGGAAACTCCCTTGGTTCGATGCTGGCGAAGCTTTGCTTTGGCACATGGTATTTCAACGAAGAAGATGAGCTACTAGTGCAAAGCCGCCGGCAGCTACTGCAGTATGCGCTTCCCTCACACCCACGTTTACGACTTGCACACGGCATTGGAGTCAGCTTCATCAGCCTGCTCAGCTTGGCTGTGCCAGCCATTTTGGTGGGCTACTGTATGCTTCAGACCCCACAGCTTCAGCTTTGTGAAGTAGCGGGTGGAACCATCAAGCCAGAGTTTGATCCTTGGGCTTCGCATCATTATGTCACCGTGGCTGCTGGTAGGAAGGAAGTGATCGCATTCAACTTTGAGATGGGGCTTGGACAAGCGTCAAGCTATGGATTTTGTTGTGGCTCCAACTCATGTCCAACTCACGGATTCGGAGAAAACCAGCCTTCTGACCATCTCCTGATAAAGGCCCGCGTTTCTCAGTCAGAGTTTGGCACTTGCTTGCTGAAACTTCGAGGGCTTCGTGAGCGAGAGTACCAGTTCACAATCCTGGCTGCCCGAAGTTTCAGCGTAAGGGCAGAGATACTGGGTTGCTGTTAAGGAACTCAAGCTTAATTCCCATCATGGGGGAACCTTATTTTGCACTATAAATCCATATTATGGCACAGTAACTCTAACCTATGTACTTAAAAATATCCGTCTAGAGGAAGCCCAGTATGGTAACCTTTTTAAAGGTTTTTAGCCGCACCCGTCCTAAACCCTCAACCCTAAACCCCAAGCCTTAGTTGAAGGTCCATAATTTGACTGCCTAAGCCCTAAACCCAGGATAGGCCGGTATTCGGCCAGCTTCCAGGAGCATCCAACTGAAGGGCACCTATACCAGTCTAGCATGGCTCTGCCATCACGCAACGCGGTTTAGGGTTTAGGGCTTAGGATTCAGGGTTGAGGGTTTAGGTTTCAGGATTTAGGGTTTGAATAGAATTTAGGGTTGAGGATTTTGGGCTTAGGGTCTTAAGTGAGAGTGGGGGGTCGAAAAGAGAAAAGACGGTGCCAAGGTATTTTGGGCTCAGGCTTCAGCATGCAGGGTTTAGTTTTGGGGCTTACTGGTGCTTAAGTTACACAACACGGGCAACTTATACCGTTCTTTGCAGTCTTCAGAGATGCGTTGGCACTTCACTTTTGTAGTGTTCCTTTGTTGTGCTTTTTGTACTAACAACGAGCAGGGTAGTAAAGAGCAGCCTAGTGTTAATGACCAGCTTACCCCCTTGTGCTTCAGAATTTCAATACTTTAGGGACCCCAAGTGGTGCACAATCTCCGAAACCAACAGCAGCGATCGCACCTTGACTGGTGTTCGATCTACAGTTCTGGAATCCCTTTCCACCTATACTCGCTCTCCAACTCTCCCTCAAGCTCCAGCAAGGCAACGCGCAGCTCCACTTGTCTGCCACGATGGTCCTAGACCCAACCCACATGCGGCTCAATCCATCTGCCAAGCTGTGCAAACATGATGGCCGTCCATGCGATGTGATTGAGGCCCAGGCTTTGAGGGCAGTTGGTTTGTTTTGGGCTCAGGCTCGTCCAGTCGGGTGATTTTTTTTTTATTTTTTTTTCATTTTTTGTCTTTGGGTCGTCCTGGGCATTCTGTAGATATTAAAACGTCAGGACGCTCCACCACAGAGCTCAATTTTCAGCCGAAATTTGAGGACTCCCTGCGTGGGAGCTCAATTTGGTGTCCAAATGTTAGAAAGCTCCATGCGAGAGCTCAATTCTGAGCCCGGATTTGAGGACGCTCTACGTGGGAGCTCAACTTAGTGTTAAAGTATGAAAAATCATAAAAAATCTATGTGAGAGAGCTCAATCTGTTGGGACGCTCCAGAAAATTATAGTGCTAATTGGAATAGAAATGAGAATGAATAATACTTGTTGTAATGGTAATCTGCGTAATTAGAGCAATAGTGACAAGATGCAACATGGACAATGATGATGATGGTATTAGCATTAGAAATCCGCATAGTTCTCCCTTACGGCAAACATGGCAATGACATGATCTTGATCATCGTACGCATGGATGACTTCAAAAAAGCAGGG